CTGCGTCGCTGAGGACACCAGAGGAGCTTTGTCCATTCGACCCGATGGCTCCCACTCTTTTGAGGCTTCGCTCGCCAAGTGGAAGGATCACACGCAGGTGCAGAGCTACCTCATCCCGTTGCTTAAGCAGACTGCCCCGGATCCAGATCTTCCCCTGAAGCCCAAACAACCCAACAAGCCGCCTAACAAGCCTAATCCGCAGGCGCCCAAGACTCCTGGCGAAGGGACAAGAAAAAGACCTGGACCGTGCCCTCCGGCAACTTACGGGGTTGCACCTTCGCCAAGGCGGGAAAGAGGTGCCGACGAGGGCGCCATGTGTGCTGGAAGTGCCTGGGACCTCATTCGGGACAAAAGCTGCGCGGAACACAAGGCAGAGCTGCATGTGGCATGAAAGTTGCATAATGTCACTGAAGCTCAGAATTTGCAGAACGCTACCCTGAAGCTCAAAGTTGCAGAAAGCTACAGAGCTCGAGAATGTTGACCAAATACTGCACCCACGCCGGCCAAGGACGGACCTGCATCGCCAGGCGGCTTGGGTCAGTCCCGATTACCGCCTCGTAGACGACGAGCAGACCGGATACTGTCGTAGTACAGCTTAGCGCGGCTAGGGGAGTACCCCGGTTACCGCGGGCAGCAAAGACTTGATTTGCATGATGTCTAAGGACGTGTAAATAGCAGTCCAGGAACTACAAGCGGGGTGCAGCTTGGCTAAGCGCCTCAACGCGGGCTTGGATGAAATCCGAGTACCCGACAGGCGAGCAAAAGGAAGTGAAAGGGTGCAAACTGTTTTAGCTCTCCGCGGGACGGTATCAGCTGCTCTTGTATGTTTGGCTACACCGCTTGCATACGAGCAGGTCAGAGGCAGGAACATTCTGATCCAACTCGCCAAAATTGCGGGTTATGGGTCGGCCACACAAGAACTTGGCCCCTTCGGAAGCCTGTATATGCACCGTCCTGCTGTAAATATGCATCTTGCTGAAAACACTCGAAACCTGCGCCGCCGTGAGAGCAGCATCAAGAGGCACCCCCACAGCTCTGGCCTCGAGATCGTCGACGTCCAGGTCAGAGCCCTCAGCTTCGGAATCCGACACAAAAGGGTCGTGTTCCACCACCTTCTCCTGAAGCTGAGGTTCTTCAGATGCTTGGATCATGACCGCCAATCGCATGACTCGACTGTCATCGGGCTTGAACTGGCCAGCTCGAATCTTCCGCAGAATGTCAGAAAAGATTTTCATGAGACGACAAAGCTCGTCCCGACTGTAGGTGAGTGGCGAGCGGGAAGCGGGATCGAGATGATGTCCGGCAATTCGCCGGTCTTCTAAAGAAATGCCACCGAATTTCGCAAGCCAGCTAAGCATGGTAGCCTTTGGGCTGTGGGAAGACACGCGACTAGCAGGGAGCAAATCAATCTGGCTGGCTACCAGGAATTTCCGAAGGTACAAGCTTAGTTCACCAGTCGACATGCGACGTGTGAGCCAGCATTGGGCCGCCTCGCTGAAGGCGGGCAGGGATGGCTTCAGCGAGAGACCGGCATCCTGCCGAGCTTGCATCCAGGCCGGCCCCCAGGCGCTGGTGTACAAGAAACACCCCAAACTGAGGAGCGGCAGCAGAAGGTTCTTTCGGTCGCCTTGGGCAGTCTTGTAAGACACAGAAGCGGCATCCAGGAGATACACATCGTCGGCACTGCTGCATTCTAAGCGAGTCCAGGTACATGGTGTTGGAAAAACGAGCACAGCTGCCAACACAAAACAAAATCTGCCCGGCTATGACGCACCAATGAGGATACGGGAACTTCACCACAATGCGCTCCAGTGCACGAATCATGTCAACCGTCAAGGGAGCAGCCTGCATGAGGGGCTTCTTCGTCGCTGCAAGGGCGGCAGCTGCACCTCGAACACGAATGGACACGGGAGAACCTGCGGCAGGCGCAAAACCAAGCAGCGCAGACATGAAGTTCCAGCTCTCAAGGAAAGATTTCCTGGAGGTCGGGGCTCCGTTTGCTTGCAAATGCTTCATATAAGAGTAAAGAGTGGCTTCATCGGCTCACAACGGGGAACCCAGACCGGAAGCCAATCAAAACTCCGCAAAACGCCAGTACGAGGCTGTCCGCTTGGCCAGCGTGGCAGTACTCTTGCTCGCGAACGTATCAGTAAACGATTTCTGCACCGGTGATTTGCAGATTGATGTTAAGAATGATACGCCGCGCCATTCTCTCAGCATGGCTTGTTTCGCACTAGCACACATTGCAGGACAGTCCATGATGTACGCAGACATGGACAATGCTAGTGCTGAGCTTTGCTAAACTTTTTCAGGCTGTAGGCATTTGGAGTGGCCTTAGGCCTTGTGCAAGCTGGCTGCCGTGAGAGCAGCCGGCGGGGGCGACTCTGATTCGAACTCAGAGACTCCGCCCTCGGCCCTCTGAGACCTTTGTGACGGTCCAGCGGTGGACTGATCAAGCAGTTTGGGACCATCAGCAGATAGCAGCCTTGCAGGTAGCGGTTTCGGACCTTTGGGATCAGATTAGTTTGATACATACCAGCCTTGAGGCACTCCGTCGTGATCGTGTGAGCGCCTTGCAGGGGCTGGGGCTTCCGCCGCAAGAGGGCTAACACCAACCTTCTCAGTCGCATTGTGTCCCTTCTCCGAGATCTCGCCGGAAAGGTCCGCTACTTGTGGCTGCATTATGGGGCACCCTTGCCCTCTGCTGTGCCAGTGGAGGACCCGTAGCTTCAGAGATGCAGCCAGCACCTCCAGCCGGGGGCCAGAAGCGTCGCATGGAAGACGTCATCTCCAACTGCCGATTTTTGGATTTTCGTGCCAAGCGCATAGTGATGCCCTGGGATCGTGGAGTTTTCGGTTTGCTGTTGAACCCCTGGTATACTTTTCCGACCCCATGGGAGCCTGATAGCAGCGCGGTTCGAAGTGGAGTCCAGCAGGCCTCTCAGGAGATTTTGCCAAACGCTACCCAGATTTGCACGGCAGCGAGCTCAGTGTGCCGCCTTGTTCAAGTCGGATGATGCAGTGCGCTTTGAAGCCTTGCGCAAGATGACACTTTTGGAGCCTGCTGCCTCTCCTTTGGGCGTAATCTAAGTAGCCGATGCCGCCTTGTTGTCCGACGACAGTGAGCTATATCCCAACTTCAGGGGCCTCAATGTAGTCTAGCTGGGAGACTACATTTGGCTGCCTGTTCAGGTGCAACATGGGATTTCAAACACATACAGTCCGGATCAGAAGGGTGCCTCCAGTGGTCTGCGAAGCACCTTTAAACGGCATGAACGTGTGCGGAGTTCGAAACTAAGTTTGGAAAGATTTTGGAATCATTGCTCAGCTAAGGCGGCTGCTATGAAAACAGAAAGACAACTTTGTCGCTTCGCGAAGACGCCCTCTTGGCGTAAGAATCGGCTGACGGACATGATAGGCTATGAGGACAAGCCTGTCTCCACCATCCCATGGCATAGTTGCATGAAGCTTGTAGCATCAATGGCTATCATGGGCGGGGACACCGGAATGATGTCTCCTGGAACTGTGGCAGCCTGGATGTATTCGCGGATGAGGGTTGGCTACCCACAGCTGACTCCTCTCCAGCGGCTGAGCGGTACGATTAAGTTGTTAATGCCAGGCTCGTTGTTGTCGAAATGCGGGGATGTTAGTATGTTCCTGTGGAACGCCAGCGATGTAAATCGTGCTGATGGCGAGAGTCCTTTTATGCAGGACGCTAACAGCCGACTGACGTTAGGAAACTGCATGGTGTTGGTCATGAGTCCCCCCATGGGCCCGTGGCGATACGCGCCGCAGCAGAAAAGCTTCCCATTGGTTTGTGTCGGGCTCATCACTCGACTGCGATGAGAGCGGGAGGAAGATGGCAGTAGATCCATCAGTGCTCTCAAGTCAGCATGTGACGCCCAGCCATCACGTAAAAGTCCGAAGGCGAATCGTTCAGCGCTTGACGTATGACTGTCAGGTGCAATCAAGGTGTCAGGAATCGGTGCCAGCTGTATCCACAACGTGACATCTTGCATATTCCATCCGACCTCTATATCACAGCCAGCTTCTTCTTCTGAATCGCTCACATGGATGGTCAGAGTGTGGGGCTGCTGCTGGTTCGGGGAGGCCATGAAGGAGCCCGGCAGTCTCAGATACCGCCAGTGTGCTAGGGAAGCGATTGCTCAGGCCGCGTGTAAGGCTAAAGACAGTGCAATGTCCGGAACTAGGAAGAGCAGTGACAGCTGTGGGTGTGACTTGGATTAGCTCATGACAATGTTAAAACGCAGAGCTGCAGACTTTACTATTGTTATCTGTCCCTGCGAAGTGCTCGTGGTGGTTGCTTGAAAGGGAATGTGCTGCGCAGAGTCTCATGGACCCCGCCGGCGGTCCACCAGGGTAAACCGCCCTAGGCGGCAATTCTGGCATCCGCACCTACATGAATTCCTGGCGTTAGGATATTGTAGGCCAGCCACAGTCCCCTGAATTATCGCAGGTCTACTTCTAGACAGTTGTTAGCTGGCACCTATTGGAATTCCGGAAACTGGACCTTTGCCTGGGAGAGTGTTCTGGCAACTAAATGAGAACCCTGGCTGCGTGGAAGTTGCCAGTATTCATTAGACCAGCCGTGTTTGCCTTAGTTATGCTGCTGCAGCTCTGCGTCTTAGCGAAAGCACGATCCTCATGCTACAGACTGACAATGCTCTGAGCTCCGTGCTAGCGGATTCAGCCATAGGACCGCCCTGTTGGCCAGAAGTAGCCTCAACACACATGGCACATGAACTTAGCTTGAGTGGCAGTGCTTGCCAGCGCTTTGGGTGTAAAGAGGAAATCAGGCGTGACGGTTGTGACTTTTTTCCGTCGGCTTATGTCTACGCTAGTGTGAAAGGTGTTGGTCTGGATCGAGTGAATAAGAAAAAGGAGCTCCGACAGGCTGTGCCCGTCCCTCTGAACTGCAATGCAGATCAGTCTTCTGGTCATGGTGACCTTGAAGCTTGCGAAAGCTAAGCACAGGTGAATCAGTCAGCGGTTGGTGTCGAGATCGGCATTGAGAGGATCTCCCCGAAGATGTGGCCGTGTTCTTGTAGTATCGCCCTCCCCAGGCGCGGCAACATCTGTTGCTGCAGATGCTGTCTGCCCAGCTTATCCAGAGCACCGTATTGGATGTAGAGATCTTTTGTTTGTGGACGCGAAAACGCAACATGAAAGTCGTCACGCAGGCGCAGCAGGATCGGCACGAGGAACTTGTCGATCCATTCTTTGGGGCGGTTCATCCATGGTGCCCGTGTGTGAACGTGCCGTCGGATGGTCTCGGATGAGTGGACTCGAAGGTACGCCCAGATCGAGATGGAGGCCGTGGAGATTGAGTCCAGGTAGTAAAGCTGAATCAGCCTCAGAAATGCTTCGTCTTGTACTGTTAGATGGCAGGTGTGCAGGAGCGATAGCACTTGATGAACTTCTCGAAGCAGAATGCAGCCGTCCTCCGTGAATGCTTTCTTGGCAGCCTTCTCCAACTGCTTGGGAGCTTTGTTACTCCATAGCAGCCGCTTGTCTGCGATGTCCTTGTTAATTTGCGTGCGATCCGAGTGCGGAGAGAGCATCCACTGGCTTTCAAGGACATAGTAAATAGACTCCACTCGAAGTGTCATGTGATGCTGGTGAAGGCGTGAAGCTGCCACAGGGTCCAAGGCCTGGTAGTCAGGGTCTGTGCTGGAGGAGAAAAGCATTGCTGTCCTCCAGTTTTAACTGCGTTGCTAGCTTGAGCCCGGTTATATCGATGCAGGGCGGCTGGGGGGGGGGGGGGGGGGGGGGGGGGGGGGGGGGGGGGGAGAGAGAGTGTGCAAAGAAATGCCAGCAGAAAGGTCTTCTGCCTCGACCGAGGACTGTGCGCACTCACTTGCTGCTTCTGTGAGCTTTTCAGCGGCTTCAAATCAGGATATGGCAGTCTCACTCTCAGCAGCAATGCGGATCTTCCCAGTCCTCTAAGAACAGCATTGGTTCAGTCACAGCGAAGCTGCTCAGCACTTGCTGAGAGTTATGCTCTTGATGCCGTTGGCATCTGTGACAGTGAAGCACGTCGTAGAACTAGAAATGTGGCTGGAAGATGCAGCAGCGGCTCCTGTATGAAGGACTGTGTCCTTGGTCCTGGTTTGCTATGCAAACATACGGACTCAGGAGTTCACTTACTCAGCGCTGGTCATACCAGGACCATGACCATCCAGTACGCTTGTCGCCTTGCCGCCATCCTTCTTCTTCGGTATCTTCACGTGGGCGACGGACACCGCGAGATTGGGCTGGGTGTTGCGTCCGCGTGACGTACCATTCATGGTGCTGAATCCGGATGTGTGCTTCAGGCGGTTCTCCAGCCTTGATCATGTAAGAGACCTTGGAGGTACCATTGACTCGTTTGGCAGTCAGGTCGTAGATGGTGGAAAAAGTGGCCGCAAAGAGCATGAAGTCCTCTGCATCTTGCTCCGTGCGGATTTGGAAGCGTGCCTGAACTGCTGCTTTGATGAGTGCGCTGAGACCTCCAATCCACTTCGTGGGCAAGTCCAGGTCGACCCACTGCCCATCCCGGTAGGTGGAGATGGTGATGTCCCCTGAAGCACCGATAGTGGCTTTCGCTGTCATCAAGACTTGCCAACGCAAGCCCGTGGCTGTTGGTACTTCATGAATGCACTGAAGAAGAGGAGGGGGCTCACGCAGGATGTCCAGACGGCGCTGCCACACTTTGGACCACTCTCCAGCTGAGAGTAAACCCATGACCTGAGGCGCAGTGATGGCCTGGACCTCCCCCACCGTCTTAACCCAGTCTTGGAAGCCCTGATCGCTGCATTGTTCACGGACGGATAGGGGCTTGACTGGTGGCGGCGGGGGAACCCCCGTTGAATCGTATGGCTCTATGCTCGAGTGTGCTTGATGGGCCTGTCCACTGGAGGAAGATGATGCAAACTCCGCCGCCATTTTCTTGTCCTGGGCTTCGCTGAATTGAATGGCGGAGTTGGCGTGCCAGCCTTGACGTGCAAAGTGCTGCTTGATGCCCACATCATTGGCGAAGGTGGTGCTGTTACCTTGCTTGTTCTTGCAAAAAGCGCATTGCAGATACAAGGTCTCCGCATGCAGGCTCAGTCCTCGGGGAATGAGTGCTTGAACATCACGTAGTTCTAGACTGCCATAGTATTGGGGGAAGGCCTCGATCTGCTGCATAATGCGCGTGAGAAGATTGGACTCCAGGGCCGTCGATACGTGCGCAGTGATGGTGCTGACTGTCGGTGGGTCGTCAGAGGCCGGCGACTCATGCTCGCGTGTGCTAGCAGGGTGTCGGTGGCCGAGGGGGACAGCATTGGCCTCCGTGGTTGGAGGTGTGGTCAGAGCCGTCTCAGACTTTGGGGCTGTGCCCTGAGCCCGAGTCTGTTGGCCTTCCTGCAGTGCAGTTGGCAGGTTGCGAAGGATCCCACTTGCCTGTGCTCGCTGAGTTCCTGGGTCGTTCTGCCAACCATGTCTCCACTTCCAACATCTCGTCAGTGCTACCTTCGTGCCCGACTGTGTGGTGAAGAAGTGCCCATCGTTGTGGTGTCCGTAAGTCTTGCGGACTTCAGCGCTGTGTCGTTCCTGCAGCAGGTAGATGGGCCCGAGGCGAGGGCACAGTTGCCAGCCCGGTTGGAGCTGGTCCTTGTCCGACAAGCCCAGGTCTTCTTTGATAGCCTTGAAGAGGACGATGCAGAAGGTCATGTAGGCTGGTGATTTGTCACGTCGTACAAAGTCATCTGAAAGACAGTGATGCAGCGCAGCCGTCATCAACGGGTGCCGCTGTCGTCCCATCATGATACCTTGGAAGATGTGATCCTGCTTGGCCCCGATCGCTGTGAGGAAATAGTCAGGTGGGCCAGTAGCAGTGTTCTTCCAGCCATAGAGTTGCTTTGCTTGGCGTGCAAGAGAGGGGCGCCATTCTTGCATGATGCAAGTGAGAAGCGTGCGGTAGGGCACCACAAACCTCGTCTTGATGTCAATGTACATGCCCCCCCGCAGCCAGTGTTCCGCGTATCTCCATACGTCAGCGCGGTGCGCTGTGTATGTGAGAGCTTGGTGAAGGCAGTGCCCCACCATACCTGCCAGCTCCTTCATCGTCTCCACTTGACTGGCGTCATCATAAAAGGCGCGCTGAATGTTGGGAAAGCACTCCTCCATCATCTCGTGTGGCCCCGGATGGGAGTCATGGACATAGGTCTGGAAGATCCTCAGGGGAGGTCGGGCCGTGAGGTAGGAGCCCCCCAGCGCATAGACGGTGGACGCCGGAACTTTGGAGTGGTGGGCAGCCTCCGCCAGTAAAGCACCGAGCGTGTCAGCTTGCGTGAGTGCTCTCGTTGCCAGCATCTCTTTGTGTACTTCCTTCCTCACTGTGTTCCAGGAGCAGCGCAGGAGGACATGCATGCTGGGTCTCGCGCCGGGATGCAGTGCATCGGTAGCATCCATAGCTTGCAGTGCAGCTGCTTCCAGTTGGCAGATCGCTTCGCTTGCCACCTCGGGTCGAAAATGAACTGATCTGGTGTTATACAGAAGGAGGTCTTTGTTCTGCAGGTCCATGATGTGGATGGGGAGCTCATGCTTGCGGAGCTTAAAGTCCGTTCGAAACTTGCCAATCCAGTCATAGTTTGCCTGCTTGACCGGGAGGAGAGATTGCTCGATGGGGATGAGGCCAACGTTCACTCTCTTGTGCTGGTGTTTGCGCAGGAATTGTCCCAAACCTTCGCTTGCCGCTTTGTTGTCGCCCTCGCTCATCATGGGAACGTTCGGAATCCTGACATGGTCTCCTATGTTGATAGACTGTGCAGCCGCGATGGTGAGGGCTTCCAGGATGGAAGGATGGCTCTCACCTTGTGAGGTGTAGCGAGCCGTCAGCGTGGCTCCGGGGCAAATGACGGCGTAGCCCGAGAGCAGAGTTCGCACTCCATAGCTCTGGTACATGGAGGTTTCCTCGTTCAGCAGGAGGTGCTGGAAGGTGCTGTCAACCAAGCAGAGCACTGGAGTGGTGGGCCTGACGGCAGCTGCCATGGCTCGTAGGAAGGCTCTGTTCACGTATGCTGACAGTAATGAAAGCCATGACAGCAGAAAATGAGTTTGAGCTGTGCAGAATCAAACCTGCCTGGAGGAAGAACCTCAGGTACTAGGTGAGCGAGGGAGGGAGAAGAGGGAGTAGGGAAAGTGCTAAAGGCTTAGTGCCAAGAAGCTGGCTGATGCCTGAGTGCTCGTTGAGAGAAGCGGCAACCATTTCCAGACTGAAGTCAAGCGTGACTGTCTGGGATATTGCACAGTGCATCACTCAGGCTCTGCTTATTGCATGTTTTGTGCTGGTATCGGCGCTGCAATTGTCCAGAGACCATCATTCCCGTGGAAGCGAGTATGTTACACTCTCAACTTGCCAGTGGGACTGTGTCCCAGGTCCTAGTTCGCTGTGCAAACCTGAGGACTGTGTTGAACATTCTGTGAGATCAGGGAGGTCCTGATTGCAAAAGGAGAAAAGTGGCGCTAGGACTCGCAGAGCATTCCGGTATCAAGCAGTCTGCTGTGCTGGCTTAAAGAGGATAGAAAAGTTTGCATGTAATGAAGAACGGTACTGGAGATTAGTTTACTAGTCCGTAACGCTCTGCAACAGCAGGGTGTGAAAGAAGGCCGCCCACTGTATCTTATTGCGCTGGGATGGGGTCAGCGAACCAAACCATCCCTGCAGGGTTGCCAGGTCGTTGGAGCTCAGTTCAAGGGCCGGCACTGGCACTGACAGACTTGGCAGCGGCGGGAGGCTCAGGGGGTCTTCGTTGATGTCCATCATCACGTCTTCTGGTCCTCGAGCATGTTGGGATGGTGGCTGTGGTGGCGGAGGAGGCTCCGCCCAAACGCCTTGCCCACCCGGAACGTGAGACTCCCCCTGTTGGGACTGTGAGCGGTTCGCTCTGCCTCTTTTTTGACCAGGGGGAAGGGCTGCTGCTGGTGGTCGAGAGGTGGCTTTCTCCTGGACCAAGCAGCCATTCGAATTGCCGTACGCATAGATTGGTTTGATCTCCTCCATGATGCGGTTGTAGGTCCCGTGCACGCTTTTGAGATCGCAGGACAAGAACCACTGGACTGAGAGTGCTGTGCGCTCCCAGCTTCCAGTACCTCGGGTATCCGCTGTGCGTACCTCTGGAACAAGCCGTCCATTGGAATTGCCAAAGCAGGTGGCTAGAGGATTTGGTCCGTGGCCCCCGTTCTGGTAGGCTATGGTTGTCGTCGAAGTAACAGGGTGACCATCCCGATCCCACAACTTAGTCTGCATGATCAGCATGATGTTGGTGGCACTTTGCGCCCAGGATCCTGTTGGCCACACTGTGATGGGGTGCGCCGGTGGTGATTCTGCCATGGCCTGTGTGAGCCACCGCTGGATTTTGGACTGCGTCTCATTGGAGGCCCTGATGAAGTCTGGAACGTCTGAGTGGCGCTTGAGGGTTGGCCATATTTCCATGTCCAAGGCGAGTGTCAAACGGTAGTAGTCACTCGTGCCCGTGTGATAGCCTGTGTTGCACCCGGAGGCCTGTGTAGGTCACCTCCGGCCACGTAGGCCCCGTACCCCTCCCGAACTGGATAGATGGATTCCGCTGCATTGTCTCCAAGATCGATGAGGACCCACGTCGGCCTCGGCGAGGTAGGCCGTTGCCAAAACATGATGTTGCCCATGTGGACGTCCGCGTGTACC